CCTGGCGGCGCCGCTCGCCATAGTCCGCGTCGGTCCGGCGCCGGGGGGGCCAGGCCGCCGCGCGAGGTCAGCCGCACGGGAAGGGAGGCGGTCTGCGGGGCGAGCGGGCCCTGCAGGTGAGCGGCGGCCGGGGACCGGAAGCGCCTGGAACCGGTGCGGAAGGGCGGCCGGGAAGGGGCGCGCCGGGCGGGCCGAGTGACACAGCAACCCTGACAGGCACACCGGAATTCATCATCGGCCTCAGCCCGCCATGACGCGGGCCGAGTGCGCCCGGCCTTTCCACGCCGCCGGGGGCCCGGGCTCGCCTGCTTCTGGCGCCTGGACCGCGGACCGGAGAGAGCCGGGAAACCTGGATCTCCAGCTCCCAGCCCTAAGGAGACCGGCCCTTTTGTATCTGATCCGGATGTGATGCCTGGACTACAAATCCCACAATCCCACGGGTCACCGGGGCGTGAACTTCCGCGTGCTGGGTCCGGATAGTTTAAATATTCGTTCCCCACGCTGTGCACGACTGAGCGAGATTGCTCCGTGGGTGATGATAAAGCGGTGTCACGCCCTGCTTCCCAAACCTTTTCTTAGGCTCCCGAGGTTTTAATAAGATAAATGTCTTTGAAATTAAAATAAACTCGCATCCAACTTGAAAACCTTGTCCGTTGGCTTTTCAAGATACCTCCACCTCCTTACCTTCTCCCATCAAACTTACAGGGAAATTAAGTAGTCTGCGCCAGTGTTTTTATTTGCATAATTGCCCCTTTGGAGCTTGTTAAAGTGCAAATTTTGATTGTGCAGATTTGGGGAGGTGCTGACAAACCTGAACAAGTTTCAGGTGGCGGTGCTGGTGTGTGAACTGCACTGAGCAATGAGTGTCCACATAGCTCGCTTCATTTTCAACTTACCGTTTACTGTTCCATCTGCTATTGTGGCAGCCTAGCTTAGCATGAGGGACTCCTCTCTAGCCGGCCCCTCACCCTCCATCCCTCCTCTGCTCTCCCGACAGATCTTTGACTCTTAAAATGTCTCCGGACTCCGCCTACCCAATTAGCAAGAAATGTAAATATCTTGCTAAGACCTTGAATTATTACCAGCAGCACTGCCGGTTCCTCCCACCGCCCCTCTACCCTGTCAGTTTGATACGAATTCACTGCTTGAATATCCCTCCCCATTAGCCAGCTCACTACTTGGAACTATAAAAATCCCGATATTTCTTGGTCCTGGGTGGAGAGAGTTTTCCAGGCTCTAGCTTACTCTCAAACCAGCTGTTGATTAATTAAGTGTAGTTGATCTCGCCCACTACAACACTATCCTCCTGTTTGTAGCTCAGCTTCTCCACAAACCCTCTTTGGTTGGCCCAATCCAGTCTTCCGTCCTCTCCTCTAGGTTCTAAGCACTAGTCACCCACCAGTTTCTGATCTAGTTGACATTTTAGTATCTCTTCTGCAGTGACACTACATGGTTACCCAATTTAAAGAATATTATCAATGTCACTGATTGGACATGCAGATATTGGTGTGTTTTGTATGTATACTCAACAACAAAAAATGATTTTGTGATTTACATGGATGGACTATTTACAATGGTATTTCTTGCTAAAGGTGTATGCCAAGACTGTTGTGTTTTTTCCCCAAACTCTAAATCTTTATTTCCAATTGTCCGCTAGAAATCTCCACCTGGTTGTTTTCCCTTGAATTTTTTGAACTTTTCCTATCCTTTTTGCCTCCCTTCCCCAGCCAATCCTACTAAATTAAAATAGGATAACCTTCCTAAAATATGTTACTTATCTACTCAACCCCTGATTGCTTCCCTTCTTAGGTACAATAGTATACAGCTAATCCCCAGCTTAAGGAGTCCCATCCTTTCTTAGTAAATTGATTCACTCTTTAAAGCTTTTATTATTACCTTTTATACTAAGTAGCTTTATAAAACTGATCTTATTTATCTTTAGAATTCGCATGAGAATGGTAATATCAGCCAGTTCTGTATGTAACATTGTATGTAAAACCCAAACTCAACCCAACTCACTGCTATACCTTGTATTAGAAATCTAAGGGACAGAGTAGAACTGCTCCTTAGGCTTTGGAAGCTGCAGATCTCCTGCTGTTTACAGGAGCAGACAACCTCATCTTTCTCCCGTGGAGTGTTCCCTAGGTTTGAACCTTGTGGTTAGCAGGCCAATGCGCAACGCACAGTGCCTCCAGGGCTCCATAGCATTGTATACTGCCACAGCCATCGAATCAGTTCCATTGCGTGTAGTCCAGATTACTAACAAGAAGATCAACAAGAAGACAGTTTTAAGTATGGTCAAGGTAACTCAACTATTGTAAGTCAGAGACTACCTGGATAAGGCCTTTTACACTAACTTCCCACTATCTTTTACTGCATTCTTCCTTTCTTATCCTCATGAATCTCTTATTTAACCAGGGTGAATTTCTTGACATTCTCTGAACACATCAGATATGTTTTCATGTTCTTTGTTCATGCTCTTTTTAACATGGAATGCCACTATTTTTCTTTTTCCACACCAGTTTAATTATCATCTAGCTCCTTCTGATTCCCCTGAGGAACAATGCCATTGTATTAATCTGTATTCTAATTAACTCATTTGTGTCTTTGTCTTTTCCTCTACTCTAGACTAAATTTCTCTCAGAGCTGGTTCTGTATCTTATAATTCTAAACAGCCACTGTTGTGCCTCACAAGAATTATATCTGCAGTAAATGGGACTTTATACCCCTATAATGAGTTACCATCTAGGAAACTCACAGGGGCAGTACTACCCTGTTCTATATGGTCATTAAAAGTTAGCATTGCAACTAAAAAGGAAGGGGAAAACAGAGAGAAAAAAAAGAATCTATGGGTATTAGGGTAACAGGGCACTAATCCACCCAAAGGGAGGGTATTGTTTATATCTACACAAGGAAAGAGGGACCAGACTTCAACCAGTGCTCCAAGATGTGAATGCAACATGCCAGATGAAGCAGGGAACCAGTATAGAGGTCTGAGGGGCCGGCTCCAATCCCAACTACTTGGACAGCCACCCCTTACCCCGGAAGAATTTACTTCAGAGGATAGCACTAAAGCCACAGCTCAGGGGGAGGAACTTGTCTGATCAGAGTGCACAGGAGTGATTGAAGGGTGAGGAAGAGAGTGGAGCACACCTGGCCCCACCACACCAAGGCAAAACACTAAGGGCATGCAACAGAACAGCAAGGGAGCAGAGCAAGGAAGTCCCAAGGGAGTACCAAAAATAGACTTTGGGGCCAGGGCGTGGCACCCCATCAGGCTCAAGCAGAAAACACTCCTAAAGGTCAACAAACAGACCTTGAAATTTTTACAGGCGCTTTTTTTTTGTCATTGTTTTTGTTTTGTTTGATTTTGTTGCTTTATTTTGCTCTGTCTTGTTTGTGTGCATATTATTATCTCTGTAGGTCTGTCTAGATAAGATAGGCAGGATAAACCATCTGGAGGAGAAAACAACTGGACCAATGGTTCAGGGGGACATGGGAGAGGGAAAGGTTGGGGAAAGGAAGTGGGTGTTAACAAACCTGGGGACAAGGGAACAAGAGATTCAAAATCAGTGGCAAGAAGGGTATAAGAAGCCTGGTAGGGCTTGCTCAAATGCAATGTAATGGAGAGGAATTACTGAAACTCAAAAGAAGACTGAGAATGATAGTGGGACAAGAGGAAAGTAAAAGGATACAGAGGAAAGAACTAAGAGGCAAGGGGCATTTATACAGGTCTAAATATAGGCATATATATATGTAATTATACTTATATATGATGATGGGGAAATAGATCTATGTGCATATATTTATAGGCTTAGTATTCAGGTAGCAAATGAACATTGGGCCTCCACTCAAGTACTCCCTCAATGCAAGAATACTTTGTTCTATTAAACTGGCATTTTATGATGCTTATCTTCCCGACATAATCACGAAAGACAAAGCAGTACATAAGCAAATGTGGTGAAGAAAGATGATGGTGCCCAGCTATCAAAAGATATAGTGTCTGGGGTGCTAAAGGCTTGATGATAAACAAGTGGCCATCTAGCTGAGAAGCAACAAAGCCCACATGGAAGAAGCACAACAACCTGTGTGATCACGAGGTGTTGAAGGGATCAGGTATCAGGCATCAAAGAACAAAACATTCAATCATTGTGAATGAGGGGGAAGGCGGAGTGGGGACCCAAGCCCATCTGTAGGCAACTGGACATCCCCTTACAGAAGGGTCTAGGGGAGGAGATGAGCCAGTCAGGGTGCAGTATAGCAACAATGAAATATTCAACTTTCCTCTAGTTCTTTAATGCTTCCTCCCCACCACTCTCATGATCCCAATTCTACCTTACAAATCTGGCCAGCCCAGAAGATGTACACTGGTACAGATAGGAACTGGAAACAGGGAATCCAGGGCAGATGAACCCCTCAGGACCAGTGGTGAGAGTGTCGATACTGGGAAGGTGGGGTAGAAAGAAGGAACTGATTACAAGGATCTACATATAACCCCCTTCCTGAAGGATAGACAACAGAAAAGTGGGTAAAGGGAGGCATTGGACAGTGTAAGACATGACAAAATAATAATAATTTATAAATTTTCAAGGGTTCATGGGGGTGAGGAGAGAAGGAAAGAAACGAGGAGCTGATACCAAGGGCTCAAGTAGAAAGCAAATGTTTTGAGAATGATGAGGGCAACAAATGTGCAAATGTGGTTGACATGTGGATGTATATATGGATTGTGATAAGAGTTGTATGAGTCCCCAATAAAATGATATTTTTAAAAAGTTGGCATTGACTCAATGGCAGTGAAAAAATTCTTTCCAGCTTTGTATTCAGTATACAAAGCAATGTTCACATCGTATCTCATTTAATCCTCACAACAACCCTTTGTGGTAGATGATTTTAC